CGGGATTACAAACCTAATGGCTCGAAATTAATTATTAATGATTACAAAAACTTATTATCACGTAGCGCGGTGTAAATGATAACCCGTGAGATCTGTAAGCCATTGTTTACTTAGTCACTATATTTTTATCATAGAATTAATCGATCGATTTATTGTTGTATAAGATATAAAAAAAATTTTAATCATATTTCTTTTTCAACTATTAATCTGTTTGCGTTTACGCAAAAATAAAGAAATGAATATCAAAATTGAATGAAAATTATATCAAAATATGTCAACGTAGACCGTCATTTAAATCATTGTACAATACTTCAATAGCGTATAAAAACTTTCAATATTCTAGACATTAATTATGAATTTGATAATGCTTACATATGAAAATCATTTACGTGTAATTATTCTTTTTGCGTACATTACAGTATTCAGCTATTGACAAGTTGATTAATATATCTCATCATTAATATAAAATCAACTGAAAAGTATCATATCACCATCATCCGAAATGCGAAAATTAATTAATCGAAGTTATTTATCTGAGCGTGTGAACTGTATGAAATATTATTAACTAATTTTGATTGTTTTTAATTTGAAAATTTGTAATCAAAATTTATATGAAAGAATTCTGTATTCTAATCAATCTTTGCACACCATTAAAATCATATGATACATGCATACATACGCGATATTTCATATTTCAACTATATCTTTATTATTCGAAATTAAAACTGATATAACAAAAAGTATTATTACTCAGAATAAACTGATACGAGTGTAGTAATGAACATTGTCATTTCCATTGTTCGACTTCGTATAAATACTCCATTATTCTTATAATTTTAACAGCGATTCGTCGTGTGTTATGCATATGCAAATTATTGTATTTCCTTATAAACTCTACATTCTCTTTATAGTCACGTGACAATTGGAGATGTGTCAAGGACATGAGATAACAGAAGATATAATACGTGTGAATGTAGCGTGAATGTTGATGTGATGGATCAGTTGCCAGTTGGTATTCATTATGATTCAGCCATGCGAGGTGCGAAATGTGTAAAGGGTACGTTGCTTTGTACGTTACGGTAGAAATGTGTAATGTCCGTTTTAACCCTCGGATAGACACGTTATTTTATGCACGCACTGTTGGACACCTGCGATCTCTGAAGATTCCCCTTTGTTTCATGACAGTTACGACTCGTAATTTACGTATCGAAAATAATAATAATAATAATAATAATAATAAAAGTTCATGTTTTTGTGAAATGCAATATTGTTGCAATAATACCTGAAATGCACGCGCCGCTTTTCGGTTTATTAACAGATGTTATTTTCGTTTTGAAATTTTCGTATGCGTTACAGGAAAATTTTTGCTTTATACTTTAGATTTACATAGCAATATACTTTATTATGAAAACGCTACGCGCATAATAATGCCGACGAAAATGCCGGCTTTACGGTATTGAAATATAAATAAAATGAAAATCCGAGAATTGGGAGTAATCCAACGCAACATTAATGAAGAATTTTTAATTGATGTACGACATAATTATGGCACCATCTAAATTTAAAGTAGTGTTCTCTTTTTGCCAGATTTGCTATGCTCCCGCATCTATCTGATATTTTTACATTATGATCGTGAATTTCTAGTTAGACCAAACGATAAACGGTCGTTGGGGCACCTGCCAACCGCCACTCTGGTAATCCCGATGTCGGACATCGTGTGCAACGGACACGGTGATGCACATGAAAACCGTTAAAGCTTACATCGCCCCATCATAAAGTCTTATCTTCCGGTTTATAAATCGATGTCGCAATGATTAAAAGTTTTGTTCATTTAGGGAACTCGTATAAATCAAACGTGATAAGAGTTGAAGTAATTTTTCAAAAAAACGAAAAGAAGTAAAAAATTGATCATTGGCATGATCATTTTTTGATTAAAAAATATATTTCTATGATAAAAGATATATTATTAAAAATATATTAATATATCATATGATAAAAAAATTTTTAAATATTTTTATAATTTTATACATAAATCTATTACTATATATGAAAATATTTCATGATCGAATTTGCATAATGTAATTATTTTTCGATTATACAGCATCACTAATCGTCCCTTTAATTTTCAAACAGAAATTCGACATCTTAATCGAATTGTTTCTTGGGATATGTCGCGAAGTTGTAATCGAAGTCGTATCAATTATGCATCGTACTGTCGACACCCAGATGTCGGAAATCATAAATTATCCAGCAGGTAGTGATACCGAACGAGAGGACGAACTTGGTTAACGATACCCCGGTGAACCTTATCATGAAATCGACGAGATTAACGCGTCATCGCGTTACCATGATCGTCGTCTATGCATACGTAACGAATTTCCTTTTCAAATATTACGTGCGATCTAAAGGAATTACTAGAAATTTTTTTTTTTTTAATAAGCCGATCAGTTTGAACAAGCACGTACCTTTAGCTAGATTAATGCCGATTTAATTTGAATTTAACATCATCAAACGATGCGTTGAAAAATAATCGAGCTACGATCGTGAAGAGTATAAAACGTTTTCTTTCGCAAAGCGCGGAAACCGTGACGGTGCATGTTAATCACGTGTCAGGATAGTTGAGGCCGGTATGAGAATGAGATGTGCTCGAGAAGCGAGTATCACCTGCGGCTCTTGAATGTTTACTCGGCTTTCGTACTTATCAACACTTTCAACCATAACCATTTCTCGTTATTGGGAGATTTAACAAACTTTGAACTATAACTTCTTTTTCCGAAAGATCTTAGTTATCTTTCTCCTCCTATCTTTTTAATTATTATTATAATATATTATTATAATAATATAATACAATTATTATCATTTATTATTATTATTTGTTATTATTAATTAATATAATTAATTATTATTATAATATAATATTTTAATTATTATTTAACGCTGAAACTTTAGCCTATTGTGAGAAGAAGAAATATCTCGATGGAAACGAGAACGTTCGGGGCAAACAGCAATTGAGAAGGCAGCAGTGTCGACATGATATTTGTATCTTTTCTTTGTACCTTTTCTTCTTATTTATAATCACAGGCCGAGAAGACTCGATACGAATAATTCCACAGGTCACGCTCGGCCGCGACCGAGTCTCTCCGCTCTGGTTTTCCCTCTCATTGTGCGTCCCCCACTCGCTGAGCGACCTCCTCGCGGTCTACTCTTTATCTTCCCTGAATGTCTATGCCGGCGCGATGCGATGCGTGCGTAGGCCGTGCGACCGGAAGCCTCCGTCACGGCTCGTCGAGCCACCGTTTCGTGGACTTTGCCGTGGAAGAAGACGATACACGCTCGCATGTGAATCGTTCGTCCAAGTGGCGTGCCGTCCCGCGGCTAAATCAGAGATGAAAAACCGGATAAGGAAACGCACGTTGAAAAATCCTGGGACTCCAAGGTGGCTGGCCCCCCCGTGAAACTCCTAACTTCTAATTTCTAAAGCTACGGATATATTTGATAATCGCGGAATTGGGGGGGGGGGAGGGAGGTTCTTAACTTAATTCAATTCCAAGTTATTACAATCGGCAATAAACAATGTTAATCGTCGCGAATAAAAGAAGATGGGAAACGCTGAATCCGCAACCCGCTCGTATCAGCGGATGCGATCGTGTGTAGCGTGTGTGTCGTGTCTCCCATACCGAAATGATTAGAGAGAAATAAAGAATGATCTCCTTTGGCTCTTTGTCACGCATCTCGGCATCACGCGTCACGATCGTCCTAATTACGCTTTATCGCGCCGGTCAGGTCTCCGGGATCCAGGTTCTTCGACCATCCGTGCATTAACGATAGAAATCGCCTGAGATAATCCGAGGCTCGATTCGCACGGCCATGTATCACGCTTTCTCGGCGTGTTCAGCGCCATGGGTACATTGATATAGTATGCCGCGTGGACTCATTCTATTAGATTTGTGTCCTTAATATTATCATTGTAGTCGGCGTGGCCGGGAGAGCGGGCAAGATTTATCCCGGGGAAAACGGTCTCTCCCCGTTAGAATGCGTAACTGCATATTTGCATAATATCCATAACGTCAACGCTTGTTATTACCGCGCGCGGACTTTTGTCGTCACACCGGACAACACCGAATTACCCCGATTATCTCTGCCATTGAACTCGACGGGGGTAAAAGTCAAACGGTCGATCCGTCCATTAAATTTTGAGCGTGTGCTAATTGCGCAATCGAACGTCAGCAGCTCCGACCTACATAAGATATCGAGACGATATCGCGGTTTCTCGTCGTCGCTGAGCGCAGCGTTAGAGGTAATTTGCAATCGTGTCGGCGCGCCGGCATATTTCGGATTAACGCCCTAATAACGGATGATATCTCGGCCCGGTGGGATACCGTCCGCGTAAACTTGGACGTACCTACTTGGAGGAAGTTCGAAGGGTCGTAAGAGGATATACCGGCCTTGGCGAGTCGGCTGGCACGCTACCGTCGCCGTTGCCGTCGCCGCCGTCGCCGCTACACCGGATATAAACGTATCGCATGGGGATTTGGCACGGTAGAAGCTTGGGTTGGGTGGCGTGTACGTGAACGCGTACGAGAGTCATATTAGTGGACGACCGTGGCGGGCGGGACGTGCGGCGTTACGGTTAGGGGGCCACAAATTTGGTCGGTACTTCGGCTGCTTATTAACTCCGGGGCCCGCCCGAGTGGGAATATACTTAAGGGAATTTACGCGTTACACTTCTGCTGGCCGTATCTTGGATGAACTGTGTCGGAAAGGGAGGGAAGAATGTGTACGTTACCGCTCGGAAAGCAAATTGCGAAAATTGGACATATAGTTTCCCGTCCGGTTCGAGTAAATGTTGGCTAATTAGCCTAATGATCCTCTTTTACTGATGAGCGATTATAAAATATTGTTCTTTTTCTTGGATTCTCATTTGGACTCGGTTTTACGCAAGACGAATTGTATGTAGGACGTTTCCGAGAGAGATTAAAAGGAAATTAAGACTCCTTTGTACGGATAAACATTTAATTTCATAATTTGTAGGAAATAATATAAAGGACAGTTTTGTTGTAAATTAGTTAGAAGTTGATGGTTTTCGATGATCTCGGCAAAATCGCTGTCTATGATAATTATGGATGATCATTCGGCGCGACTAGGGTGAATCGCTTCTACTTGCATTTCGATTGAGCGACGTGCACTCTCGTCGGAACTGTGGACCCTCGAAACGACGGCAGCCACGGCAGCATTACGCCGGGTTGTCGGCACCATAAAAGCCATTTCCACGCTCCGCGCGATCCCAAGAACCAAGCGAGATCGATCGATATACGTCCAGGATACCACCGCCACGGTCGCGGAATCGATTCCTTCTGCAGCACGCGCAATCGGGTCAGTGGCCGTTTCTCTGGAAGGCCACTGTTCCAGCCGGACGTCGGATGATCCCCGAAATATTCTCCCGAAAGAGAATATATCTATATCGAAGATCTTCTATCTATGTTCTCAGCATATATGGAAGCGTGTCTTTAAGTCGTAAGTGACGTTGCGATAGATATTTCGGCCAAATTTGATCGGATGAAATCGCGTTTTCGGGACAGCATATTTTTCCCTAGGATGCGTCTATTTATGAAAAAAATATTGATATCTTTATATAAAAAAATGATACACACATATATATCTGTAAGATAATGTTATATACAAATTTTAAACAGCAAATATCTAGAGAAGGAGAAAAAGCACAATCTTTCCGTAGTTAAATTAAAAAAAAATCTTAGTTTATCAGAATTGTTGCGTAACAGAATATCTTCAACATTATTAAATCTGATGAAATTACTCGGCAGTTTATTCCGTCCACGAGAATGTCTCTCCACAGAATGCAGGTGAATACAGGACAAGTCGCTTGTAAGCGCCCGGCAATATGAGGAATTCGTTCGGGCAACGTTCGCCATCCAAGCGTCGATCGAAGGATCAATTAACACCCTTTTAATCGAGCGGAGCCGTGATGCCAGC